CTCGGTGTGGTGGGATCAGGTCAGGTGCAATTCCCACACTGTGTCTCCGGTGTTGTCCTCTGTAGGGCTATGGGTCAGTGAGGGGTGTCATGTCTCATAGTGGGGCTGGCCATGTGGTCCTCTCTGTGGACTGGCTGCTGCTCTAATTGGAATCTTCATCCTCAAGGCCTGGTGGGCCAGGATGTGCTCCACAAGTAAGAAGCTTTTGATAGACCTTCAATCCCACTGCTCAGCATATAAATTTTAAAGGTTAAAAAAAGCGCCTAAATTTGATATGCTGGCACATAAAGAATTTTCATACACTTAGAACAAAGCAGCTACGCCAATTAAAAGATACTACTGCAATAAAACTAAGGTCTCTACAAGATAACTTCTGCAAAATTATGTGTCATGAAGTTGCTGTCAAATGTAATATCAAGAATGTCCTAAATCTATATTTTAAATAAAAATCACATTAACTTTGGACTCATAACTGAATCTTCCAATGCACAATTTCACATCTTAAAAATTAAAACCAATTTTCCTTCCAAAACATCAAAATATAAAGTAAATGTTTCCTTAACATTATTTTAGCATTAAAACAAAATTAAACCCTAATGAAATACTATTTTTTTATGCTACATATTAATACTACCACTGGTCTATAGAAGTTAAGAACAAGATAACACTTGTAAAATAATACAGGTGTCTCATGCTACATCGAGTGTGATAGTTAATCATTGCAACCGGTCAATCAGGTCACTGATGGTGCCTCCTTATGGGCCTGGCCTTCTCCTAAGAAGGACCTTGGGAACCTCCCCCTCACTCTCTACCTTCACCTTCCTGTTGGCGAGCCACCGTGGAACCTGCCAGGGCACTGAAGATGTGTCCACCACCACTGGATCCACAAAACGTGCACCCACACCCATTGGCCTTTGAGATTTCTGCATTGTGTATCACTGCAGGTGGCAGCACGAGTCTGAAGAGGGACTTAGGGTCTTAAACCGCGCTTACGGACTTGAGTTGAACTGGGCTGGGGCATTTTCTCAATATATATCTACTTCTTGATAGAAAGCTCATTCTTACACACATGAGTGTCACTGGGTTTGATTCTCTAGTCAACCCAGCTTAGCCTAATGCATGCAGTGATCTCTAGCCCTAAAGATCAATACTGAGATTACTCAAGAAGCTGAGGTAGTAGTGAATATAGACAAGTGGTAGTAAATTAAAGGACAATCATCTTTGCTTTATAGCAACATTTATTAAGCAAAATTAGAAGTTCTAACTAGAATGAATTTTTTTTTTTTATAACTAGAATGAATTTTAAGGAAAATAACCAGCTATGTCATAATCTTTAGGGACAAAACAACTTGATTCTAAATACATATATCACTATTAATTAGTTTACATCTGAATGTATCAGACACTCAATGTTATAAAATGGTATAATTGTTAAACTAGATTTAAACAAAAATGAGCTAGACAGAGATATGACAGGACATAAAAAAAAATTCCCAACAATGAAGAATGACTAATAAATTTTTTTCAAATAAGATTTTTCAGAGGCTTAAAAGACTCACAGCCATCCAAGGTGTTTTATTCATCATAAACCCAAAAGAAACTAACGGCTGTGAAGGTTCTCAATGACTTTAGCTACACAGGGATTAGGGACAAAGTTGCAAAAGGAAAAGCCTGAAACTCCAGGATTCCAACCGAGTACTCTACATGTTAACTCGAGAGAATCCAGAGGAGAAAAAGGAAAAAGTAGGATTTGCAAAGAAAGATACTGCATATTAAATCAAATTTGCCTGCTTTAAACAAACTGCAATAAATCTTAACAGAGAGGATTCTACAGGAAAGCTACAGAGTCCAAAGACAATTTAATTTAACCCTAGCACTCGTCCTATTTGCCATTCTCCTGAGAATAGAACTCTCATAAAATAAATAGGTATGTAAATCACTAATCATTATTTTCTTTTTTAAGTATTTTCTTGTTAAGGAGTTTGGGGGTTGTTTTCCACATGCCTTAACTCGGATTTTTGCTCCTAAAGCTGTACATTCACTATTTACCAGGAACTAGCCAACTATTTTACATGCACTATACCTCATGTCCTCATTTCTGAAGTCTGGCGGGAAACTGGTGGGGAAAAAACTTTTTTTTTTTTATACTTTAAAATGATCGTGAATTTAATCAGTGATACAAATGATACTAAAGAAAAATGAGAGTAAGATTTAATTGCCAGCAGACTTTTTGAGGAGACTTTTGGGTTTTCTATATATAGGACCATATCATCTACAAATAGTTTCACATCTTCTTTGCCTATTTGCATTCCCTTGATCTCTCTTTGCTGTCTGCTGGCTCTAGCTAAGACTTCCAGCACGATGTTGAATGACAGTGATGATAAGGGGCATCCTTGCCTGGTCCCTGCTCTCAGTGGGAATGTTGCTAGCTTTCCCCGATTGAGCATGATGTCGGTTGTTGGTTCTCTTATGTGGTTTTTATTACAAACTTTTCCCCCTATAGATTACAGAGACCCCTCCAAAAAAATCCCTAAGTCAAATAGAGCAGTCAAGTCAAAGCATATCACAAGGTATTTATAAAAAAACAAAGACTAGAATGCCTACTCAAATAATTAATGTTACAGGTGAAGGATTTTTTTTTTTTTAAATCACTTTATGGGGGGCTCTTACAACTCTTGTTACAAACCATATATCAATTGTGTCCAACATATTCGTACATGTATTCCATCGTTCTTTTCTAGACATTTACTTTCCACTGAGCCCTTGGGATCAGGGCCTCTTTTCTCTCCTCCCCTCCCTTCCTCTCCCCTGGACTTATTTTTAAGGTCTAGAAAGATTACTGATGTGCTCAAAATTATTAAGTGGAGAAGCCAGGCTAGAACCCAAATCCTGCTCACACACATACACTCTACGCTTCATTCCTTACATCTTTGACAGTAAAGTATGATATTTTACTTCAAGTACAGTATGCAAAGAGTAAATTCAAAATCTTGCTACATTATCATGGGAGACTTTTTTCAGCCACTTGTCCATATAGACTTTTTAGAACAAGTCAACACAAGACTACTATATGTTAACACTGCATCCCAAATCGAGTTTTTAAATTAATGTACAATTTTAAAGTACTTAAATAAAAATCATAAAAGTATTCATTAATAAGATTAAGATTACATTTACTGAAAACCTACTCATTCTAATAATGTCAGATTAAGGATGGGTCAACACATGAAAAAAAAATGTCTCTTGTCCCTGAACTTGGCCTGGTCTGCACAACCACATTCCCAAACAGCAGGAACACTGCTCCTTTCCCACTATTTATGTAAACCATTCTAAGTGAAATCATTGACTTGTTTTATTCAACAGGTGACACCTGGGTCCATAACAAGAGCATTTCATTTTTTAATTTAAAATTTTAGGTGTACATTTCCCCAAGCCTTTTCTGCAACACATCAGACCTAAGCGCTGCCTTTCCTCACTGAATTTCAAAAGGACACTTATACGTCTCAGTATTTCTCCACTGGAAGTGCACTTGGGCGTAAGTCAGTGCTTTTGACCATGAAGTAGGGGATGCATTCACTGAAGTAAGCGAATTACAAAATTCTCAAAAGTTTTTTTTTCCTACGATAAACCAGTTGAACTAGAATGACTGAAACTCAACAAACAAGGATTGTAATTAATTTGTATTCTAAACAGGCCTTGCTACAATAGTTCTTAAGTGATAGTCATCACCAAATGGTTTCATATAGTTTCAGTTTTCTGATGATGTTTAAATTACCTTCCTAAAATTTTTAAGTCCCAGCAGTGTAATCTCACATGCAAATCTTACCTGTCAGGATTGTTTGAAAAGCAGCTTCGACATTTGTTGAGTCTAGAGCGGAAGTCTCGATGAATGACAAACCATTCTTTTCTGTGAGGAGACACAAAATCTCCAGTCACATCAAGTCTTACTGTAAGGGAAGTGACATTCTATAATTTAAAACCACCCCGACTGCTCGTGTGGTAAGGGCCTCATTCTAGCTCCAATTTAGTAGATCAAACAAACGTGAGAAATTCTCATTATATTCTTCATTACAGTAAGTACATCTCAGACCCAAATACTACCACTGGAAATAAACTATTCAAGATGTCAGGAGCACTAGTGGTGCGGTTGAGCTCTTAATGGCAAGGTTGGCAGTTCAAACCAGCAGTTGCACAGAAGGAGAAAGATGAGGCTTTCTACTCCCAGAAGTTTCTGTCTCAGATACCTCCAGGGGTGGTTCTACCTGTCCATCAGGGTCACTGATTCAGAATTGACTCTATGGCAGTGAGATGCTCCTAAAAATTCACAATGTAGTGATTATTCCCTACTCTTTACTATCTTCCTTGTTATAGCTATGATATGAACATGGGTATATATATCATTCACTTGCAATAAATTCTATCATTCTATTATTTGAAATAAAACTGCTTCTTTTATGAGATACTGAAAAACTGTCATAGAAAACTTTACTCATAGCACCATCACTAGAGCAAAGTCACAAATTTTACTTGCCAAGAATGCATGATGCTGCGTTCTGGCACAGGACTGGGCCAGGGACTAGCTGATCCTCTGTAGCCCATTGCTTTTTCAACTCACACACAGAGTGCCGTGTATAAAAAACAGGCATATTGCAAAAATAGACTGGAAGCATTAGACTAAAATGACAGATGTGCATCTACCATTTACATTCAACTTTATGGCAACAAGTGTTCAAAATATTAAAATGTTTTAACGAGTCAGCAGTAAGCAAAGAATCATAGAGTCATCTCAAATTTTCAAAACAATTCTTAAAAAAACAACAACAACATAATTCTTTCTAAGTTTTTAATATCTTTCCTGAAAGTATTGTAACTTACTACCCTAGCTGGAGGGTTATATCAAATTGCAAGACTAAGTATTTTAAAAATACAGAATCGCCTTAATGTCTTGGGTTATGTTAGGGATATGTATCACTAACCTGCAAAAGCTCTTGCTTCATCGGTAGGGACTGCCCTGAGATGGCGTAAATCACTCTTATTGCCCACAAGCATGATCACAATGTTACTATCAGCGTGATCCCTCAATTCTTTCAGCCACCGTTCTACATTTTCATATGTGAGATGTTTAGCAATGTCATAAACCAATAAGGCACCTACAGCTCCACGATAATATCTGAAAACAGAAAAAAAAAAAGAACTATTATCAATCACAAGATAGAAGTGAACACACACCAAGGAAAACTTAAAATATGGATCAGTGATTTTTAAAAATATATTTATAAATAAATGTCAGTCTTAAATCCTAGAATTCTTCAAAGGAATTTCCTCCTCCCTACTACCACTACCACCCCACACACGCAAAACATGAAGCACCAGGCTTTGCAATTGCCAAAATTGATGGGCTAATTCCCTTGGTGGCAACCTACTTCGCAGAACTTGAAACACATGGCTCATGAGACTTACGCTGACGTTATCGCTCGGTATCGCTCTTGCCCCGCTGTGTCCCATATCTGTGCCTTTATTGTTTTTCCATCAACCTGGATGCTTCTTGTGGCAAACTCTACTCCAATGGTGCTCTTGCTCTCCAGGTTAAACTCATTTCGAGTGAACCGAGACAGGAGATTACTCTTTCCAACACCAGAATCTCCAATAAGGACAACTGAAAAGACAAAGAACTTAATGAAGAAAGCAAACATATTCAGGAGACTAAGATGCTCTCAATAGAATGAAGTTTGGCTTCAGAGTACATAAAGAAAAAGAGAGAGGGCATCTGATGTTTTTTAAAAAGGGCCGAGAGAGAGAGGAGGTTCGGTGGTCCATGCTCTTGACCCGGTATCAATCAGTGAGACCAATGTGTTCATTTAGGCCAGTTTCTGCTTGCAGAATGACTTCTACACATTAACTCATGAAGCCAAGACAGTACTATCCTGGCTTAAGCATATAATTTTAGTCACAGGTCCTATAGAATCTGATGACAGGTTTAAAGTTTTAATTACCATTGGTGCTATACCAACTTTATTATATTAAAGTAACTTTAAAAACTCTCAAGCAAGTGGGCAATATCTGATATTCAAACGTATCAGACGTGAAGACAACAAAGGGTGTCAGATGGGGCAGAAGGGAGGGAGAGCTACCTTCCTCGTCAGGTCAAGGGTCGTGACCTCGTGCTCACAGGAGGCAAAATAAAACGCATTGTGCATGAAGCACCAGGCTGAGGAACTTCATCACCCAGATCACAGAAACAACAACGACCCTTTAATAATTGCATTTATCAGACTGGCACAGGAGACTAGAGACAAGGGCCACACAATCAAAAGACACTAACAATACTGAGCCTGGGAAGCTACTACTTCTATGTATTCTCAGTCAATGCCCAAGCAAGGCATACATATACTTTCACTTGTTCCTTTAAGGAATCTTTTTAAAAATAAGCTTTAGTTAGATTAAGTCATTTCTTATAGTTACCACGGAATGCTTACTTACTAACTAAAACAGATTATTTTTTACCCAAAGCATTATTATTCTTAGAATTTAAAAAACAATAGGGAAATAGGTAGTAAGACAAGTTGCTTTAAAGCATTTTTCACCTGAATTTAAAGAAGAAAAATTCATAGGCTTATAGAATGTGAGGTAAGCAACAGTTTACCCTTTGTAAAAGGTTTTACCAGCATTACTGGGAAGACATTACTCCTACAGTTTAGTACTAATTCTTCATTACACTTACCTATCTTAACAAGTGAAATTGATTTAGCCACCAGGAACAGAAAAAGCAAGTATGCAGTAATACAAGTTTACGTTAGTGAGAAGACCAGAAATTTAGTGGGAGGGCTGGAGAGGAAGGTAAAAATTGAGAGCGCAAAGTACTCCGGTCAGAGTGCACAGAAAGTCCATTAAGCCTTACTTCCTTGCCACAGGATCAGATGAAAGGTGGCCTCTGAACAGTCTTACAGAGTACGCTATCAAATGCCTATCTTGCTGGCTTCCTCTATCCACTGATTCAGCAAGAAATCACCGAGGCAGCAGTGACTCCATGCAGCACAGGGAGTAACTATTTCTAACTATCCTTGCAACTAGATAGTTAGAAAAGGTCTTGTGGCATATATACTACTAAATGCTTTTTGGGGAATCCCGGAGATGTCAAAATCAGGGAATAGTGGACAAAACAATGCAGCACTTTCAAATAGGTTTCCAAGGTCAAATTCTAATTTCAGTAATAGTCTACTTATTATGTTTCTTAAGACAGGAAGAATATGGATGCTGTTTAGGAAATCTACTTTGAATTGAGAAGGAAACAGGGAAAGGTAAAACCAGAAAGTTACACTTCTACTTCATGTCAAATGTTGTTAGTTGCTACTGAGTCCGCTCCAATTCACAGCAATCTCCTGGTACAGCAGAACTGAAAACATATGCATGAGACCATTTCTGAGGACAGTGAATTTCGAAGTGCCTTCCAACCTAGGGGCTCATTCCAACACTACATCCAGCAGGCACCATTCTACTGCGATCGCTCGGGTTCTCAATGGCTAATCTGTCATATTTTAGAGCAGTGGTTCTCAACCTACCAATGCCACGACCCTTTCATACAGCTCCTCATGTTGTGGTGACTCCCAACCATAACATTATTTTAGTTGCTACTTCATCACTGTAATTTTGCTACTGTTATGAATTGTCATGTAAATATCTGATATGCAGGATGTATTTTCATTGTTAGAAAGTGAGTAGTGATTAATCACAAAAACATTATGTAATTATATATTGTGAAATATTTATTTCTAATGACAAATAAATGAAATTTTGTCTTGAAGCATGGTGTAGTGTGGGTAACAAGTTTCACGCCAGGTACTTGTAGGTGGGCTTATCTGCACGTGGGCGGACCCGCCTGGAGACGGATAGAGGAGCAATGTCTTGGTTCCTAAGACCATCGGAAATGTTTGCCAATGGTCTTAGGCGACCCCTGTGAAAGGGTCGTTCCACCCCCACCCACCCCCCGAAAGGGGTTGTGACCCACAGTTGAGAATCGCTGTTCTAGAAGCTCCTCAAAAACCTGTCTTCTTTGCCGACATTTGCAATACCAGTGGCACAGCTTCCAGGATCACAGTAACACAGAAGGCACCCAAAGGGAGGCAAACTGACAGACAAGCAGGGAGCACTTGATATCAAGTAGTAATTCAGGGGACAGTCACTTAGTTTAAAACAAAAAGGTGCCTAAAGTATAAAAATATGATAATGCCTTTGGAAAATTATAAATAAATAAATAGGAAGGGGGGGGGAAGGAAAATGAGCTGATTCCGGGAACCCAAAAGGAAAGCGAATTTTGGGAATAATGAGGGCAACAAATGTATAGATGTGCTTTACACAATTAATCTATGTATTGTGATGAATTGTATGAGCCCCAATAAATTGATTTAAAAAATAGATTAAAATAAAATAAATAAATGAAACTCAAAAGATGAGCTCCGCACACACACAAAAATTCCGGGAGTTTCCAATGATTCTGTTCATTATAGAGACATCCTCAAATCTTTGTCACCAAACAGTAATAGAATTTTTTCCCTCAACGTATTATTCAAAATGGCAACCTTACCTAAAAAAACTCAAAACTCATAATTTATACCAGCACAGACCAGAGAATCAAAACACTGAATGCTTTACAACACAAAACAGTATTTACAAAATTAAACATAGCAACTCATTAAAGGGTTATGCATTAAAAGAAACAAAGTATAGTAGTTTTCTAAGAGCCATGTTGCCAAAAAGAGGCACACATCAGGTTACCAAGTGAGAAATCAAAACATGCAGAGTTGTATGCAGGACCATGAAAACAACCCAAAACTTCAAGGACTTTTGTCTATTGACTCAAATTTGAATAACTTCTAATCAAAATAGTTTATCTGATTTACATGATATCCAATGGGCTTAAAATTCGAGGAACTATGTAGCCAAGAAAGGAATCTGCAGGGACTTTCCTTTTTTGAAGTAAGTCCCTGGGTAACGTGGACAACCGCAGGGCTGGAGGCAGAGCTCAGAAGGAAAGTTCAGCATCTAGTTCCAAACACTCAGCCGATGAAAACCCCACGGAGCACAGTTCTACTCCAACAACTCACCAACTCACGAGGTCACCGTGAGTCAGTCAACTCCGTGGCAACTGGCTGGGTCTAACGTTTTACATAACTAATATCTTCAGTTAAAAAAATTTCTACTTTAAATAGTTCATAACTATATCCATATAGCACTTAAACACTAAGTAATATAACCAAAGTAAATAATGGTATCTGGATATTAAACCTCTATAACCCAAACTAAACCAAATAGCATTTCTAAAATAACTTGCCAGTATTATCACTTGATTCACCTCATCTTATGAATTTTAAGTATCACTTCTAATACCGAATACTAAATTTCGTTCATTAATATGTGAAACATCCTATCTTGCCACAAAAGCAAAATATACATGTTATCCATTATTTAACGCAAATTTCTATCGTTACAATCACATTTAGTTTATACTTTATCCTAGTTTACTGGACTAAGATCTCATTCAATTTATCAATCCCAGTATATTTGACTTAAAAGTTGCCACTGGAAATAAGTTTCATACTGGTCTTCACAAATGAACACGGAGCTGTTTCTGTTCTTTCAGCTATATCCATAGTCCAGCTTCAACAAGTCTTTAAAATAAAATGTATTCGATAAGGCTAAAGTCTAGAAACGTTTTTTTTTACAGAACCAGCAGAATTCCAGTTGCTCAATCATAAGTTGTGAAAGAAATACTACCCAGATGCAAGACAGTCAAGTTTCTATGATTCTTTCTACTAACCAGGGTTAGTTAACTACTGACATACAATAAAACTGAAAACAAAATGCTGGATGCAACAGCCTACATATCCAAATGTGAGATCAATTAGCCTGGCATCTCACACATTTATCTGTAAACAGGGACTCTTAACTGAGGCACCTGGACTTCACTTACAAAACCCACATGGCCTAAATACATGGTGTGTTACCACTTGTAGAGTTAATGTTTTTAAATTTTAAAAATCAAGTTTTAAAAAATAAAACATTCCCCCACCAAAAAGTCTCCCTGATATTAACTAAAATTGAAGTTCAAAAGCAAATTCATAATTTATAATTGTCCTATTCTCACATTAAATTCTCTCACATTAATTAAATTCCCTTGCATTAATTCTCACATTAAATACTACCCAGATGCAAGACGGTCAAGTTTCTATGATTCTTTCTGACCAGGTTAGTTACTACTGACATTCAATAAAACTGAAAACAAAATGCTGGACGCAACAGCCTACATATCCAAATGTGAGATCAATTAGCCTGGCATCTCCCACATTTATCTGTAAACAGGGACTCTTAAATGAGGCACCTGGACTTCACTTACAAAACCCACATGGCCTGAACACATGGTGTGTTACCACTTGTAGAGTTAATGTTTTTAAATTTTAAAAATCAAGTTTTAAAAAATAAAATATTCCCCCACCAAAGTTTCCCTGATGATATTAGCTAAAATTGAAGTTCAAAAACAAATTCATAATTTATAATTGTCCTATTCTCACATTAAATTTCCATCTCGACCACTACACTATCTTAATGGAAATACCTTTTCGATGCCAACTGATTAAATTCACTAACTAGCTTCCAATTCAACTATTTAGTTTGCTACATAAGCCTTCTTACGAAGATAGTTTGTAGAATGAAACCATTTAAAAGTGAAATTTTTCTTCCTTCACATCAAGGTGAGTAGTGCATAAATAACAACTGGCTAAATAATAAGCACAAAATTTTTTTAAGTTCATATCCTGTAAGAGCTTTTAAAAGAAAAAGCTGTATCAGCAGATTCCCTTAACCATCCTAACTTTAAACAGCATAATGTACAACAAAATGAAACTTTATCCATGGAAACATTACATAATTTAAAAGTTCCTAGTTTTTAGGGTTTCTTTTTTTAAAATCATTTAAACACTCAAGTATTTATAATAACTTCAGGTTTAGAAAAGTGACAAGAACCACAGTAATGTATTACGATTATTTATTGAGTCTTCAGAGAAGCTAAAATTCCGATCTCATTTTATCCTGACAGCAGCTCGGGGGTCCTATTTCCTTTCTTATGGGTGAGGAAACAGGTTCAAAGGGTTAATTTTCCCAAAGTCACAGAGCAAATATAAGGCCTGAGTGAGGATATGAATCAAGGTCTGTGTGATTCCAAACACCTCAATCTTTGACGAGTGGTCTAATTTTAATTGTTTTGGTATCATAAGTTTAAATGCCTTAAGCCAACTCAGTATAATTATTATCACTAATTTAAAAGAAATGGATTTCTGAAACCAACATTCAAGTTACAAGACAAACAGGAGAAATACTCTGGCCAGTCGATTTCATCCTAAATTACTTCAGGGTAATTTAGTGTCTTCTTTAAAAAACGCACCAACAAACCTCCCTTGAATGACTAAGCCGCAAGGTCTCCAGGGACTCGAAAGTAATTTTACACCATCTCAGATGCCTTCAGTGTACAGTACAAAAGGATTCTCAGTTTCCTTTTTGTGCCTGTCAAATGCATCAAGTACCCTGGTCTCTGTAGATGTCTGTCCAGTCTGGGGGCAAGGATGGATACTGAAGGTTAGTCTCACCTATAATAGCTCATTTGGGCTCAGAGGACTAAGTGATGATGAGCTAGTAAAACAAGATTTTCAAGGTACTGGTAAAGCAAAGGAACGCATCCTGCCTGGTGTAGTTAATCACTCCCAGCACCCAATGGCAAAGTTTGAAACAGGCACCGGGCCTGTGCCTAACACTCTTTTTAAACTCCACCCTCCACTGTACAGCTTGAACAGCAATGGCTTCTTCCTCCCTGGTAAGGATCTTTGTTCAGCACATTTCTGATGGCTGCCCTCCCAATTCAGAAGCGCAGAAAGCTCATCTGAATGGCGAGCACTCAATGAACAACAACAAAGCATTTCCTGTACTCTTTTCTCAAAGGTATCCTTCACCTTTGTTAATTAAACACATACACACACAACACAACACACCTGTTTTCAACTGTTCCGGGCTAACTAATGAGCAAGTCTTTCTATCCACTCCCTCCACCGTACCCTCCAAACTGTTTTTTATTCCAGGGCACTGCATGCTTCTCTAGCTTGTCCTAAATATATTTAATAGGGCCAAAAGAGCATTGTCAGCACCCCCGCCCCCCCACACACACCCCGACCTTTTGGGAAAGGTATGGAGGCCAACGTGGTCTCTTCCCTTCCTGTTCGGGAAACACCGACCCACTGGATCCTCCCAGCGGAGCAGCAGGAAGCAAGCCGAGCGCGGTGATAAAGCAAGCCGGGTATTTGTGCAGCGCACCGCCTTTCCTGCTCAGGAACCGGGCCTGCAGGTCCGGCGAGGATGGCAGCCACCACCCACCCGCACCCCTCCTCGCCGGGGGTCCAGGCCGGAGGGCCGGCCCGAGCGCGAAGTCCGTCAGTCACGGCGACGAGTGCGCGCGTGGGTGACAGTCCACTGCTCCTGCCGCCCCCTCCCCCCCAGCTCCAGGGTCGCGCGGGCGACGCGGAAGCTATAAATACAAATTTGGGCAGGGAGCGAGGAGGCTGCCAGTCCGAGGGGTGGCCCAAGGTCCCCGACCGCGAGAACTGCGGGGGCAGCGGGATGCGGGTGCGGGTGGAGGCCTCCGGGCCGCCCAGATTTTGCGAGGCCGGGCCCCCGGTGCAAGGAAGCCGGCGGGGGGCGGTCCGGAGCGCGGAGCACAGGGACCCGGCGCCCGAGGAGAGGGCGGCCCCCGACGGGAGGGGACGCGGAGGGGGCGCGGGCGGGCCGGGCTCTCCGAAGGGATGTGAGCGCAGGGTGTCCACGGAGGGAGTGGGGGGGCTGACAGGGAAGGTCGACGGCGGGAGCGCCCCTGAAGGGGCCTTGGAGCCCCGGAAAAGGAGGAGGAAGGCGATGCGGGAGAGGGCGGCCGCCGTGCGCAGGCCAGCGCGGGCCTACGCAGGGGTCGCCTAGTCACCGGGCAGAAGCGGCAGCGCGGGGAGACCGGGAGAAACCCCGCGCTCGAAGGAGGGCTGAGGCAGGCCCATTTCGGTGCAGGGGCGGCCGCGCGCGAGTCCCCCGGGGTGTCCCGGGCCCCCCGAAAGGGGACCGAGGGGCGAGTGGGGCAGCCCGCAGCCTCACCTTTGAAGAGGTAGTCGTACTCGTCGTCGCGGGTGCCCATGGCGCGGCCGGGGAGCGAAGGGGCGGGAGCAGCAGTGGTGTCGGTGGGACCAGGGGGCGTCGCTGCAGGGGTAACCCGAGCGCCGAGCCTCAGCTGCCCGACCGGGTGAAGAGCCCCTCCCTGCCGCTGCGCCACTTCCGGCGGGCCCAGCCCCGAAGGGGAAGTACTTCCGGGGAGGCGGCGCCCGGCCTCCGCGCTCTGGATAGTAGTCTGTGCTCGCACGGAGTGGTAGTGGGATTTTAAGGAGGCTCTAATGAAAAACCGAATCTCGGATTCTCAGTTGGTTACGCTCTTAAAGGCCTCTCGCTCAATCCCGGAACGGGGCTCTCGAGGCCGCCAGGTCTTCTGTGTAGCTGGTTGTGCGTGGGGGCGGGGTTTCCTGAGGTTTACAGGGTTGTAGTCGGAAACGTGTGTGTGCTGGTTCCATGGTGTAATGGTTAGCACTCTGGACTCTGAATCCAGCGATCCGAGTTCAAATCTCGGTGGAACCTGTTTTCCTGCTCTGTTTTATAAATTCATTTATTCGTAAGGTTATGGTTGTACTACCATGGGATGCCAGGCGTTTTGCCAAATAGAATGAGGGCATCTCGAAATCTGTGCCTTCAAAGGCCGCAAGTTTCCAACTGTGTGCCATACCTGCCACTCAGTCAGCTGTTTTTGCCTCAGACCTGAATTTAAAAGCTCCTTTAATGAAACTTGATTCCTTTTTTCTGGAATTTTCTATCTCCGGCTCCATTAAAGAACAGGTTCTTCTCATTCACTCTTCTCCGGGAAATCTCAAACCATCTCCAGCTGTCATTCAGAGAACTTCGCCCACCCTCATCAGGATTCATCAAGAACCTGGGCCTGTTACTATTTGTCAGCTTCTACAGGAAAACGTTTACGTAATTACTAAATCTGAGGAACAAAGGATGGTAATTTTCATTTTAGTGTCTTACTTTCCATTTTCGAGAGCACTTAGAATCAAGTGATTTGCCTCCCCATATTTGAAGAGTTTTGTCATTTCAAAGACTTGTTTCCCCTTTATTGTCACACCCCTTACTGCCGATACGCAAACTCTCAATTTAGACTTTTGGGCAAAGGTGCTTATGATAGAAAGAAATAATGCCCCTCCAAAGATATCCGTGTCCTGATCCTCAGAAAGGAATAAGATAGGTTCCCTGGTAAAGAGGAATTCAAGTTACTAATGAACTGACCTAAAACAGATGGATGAATCAGGTTTACCTAGTTAGGCCCAATGTAGCCATAAACCAAAAATCTAACTCACTGCCATCGAGTTGATGCCAACTCACAGTGACCCTACAGGACAGGGCCTAACTGTCCCTGTGCATTGCCGAGACTCTGACTCCTCACGGGACTAGAAATCCTCTTCTTTCGCCCCCAAGGGGGCTGGTGATTTCAAACTGCAGTTAGCACCCAACCTGTAACCACTATACCACCAGGCTCCAATGACCTTAAACAGTCCTTAACAATGGGAGAAAGAGGCCGAAGAGAAGGTCAGAGTGATGCTATCTAAGGAGGACCGGCCTCAGCCTTGGCTGGCTCTGCTCTGGAGGAAGGGACAGGCGTCTAGGAATGAAGACGCCTCTAGAAGCTGGAAAGGAACCCCTCTACTGCAAGCCCCATCAGAACCGCACCCCTCTTGACAACCTGATTTTAGCCCATGGAGACCTCTGTCAAACTCCTGACCTCAAAACCAGATAATAGAATGTGTTGTTTTAAGGCACCTAGTTTGTGATGACTTGTGGCAGTCCCATTTTCAATCCTTTCTCTGAAAGTGTAAAGTGATTTAAAAAAAAAAAAAAAAAAAGGTTTCTCAAAGGCCCTAGATACTGCTTTATGAAGAGTAAGCATTCATGTTTAGGGAGCGGCAAGATACTATACAAGCAGTCAAGTATTTATAGGGTACCTAATTATATGCTACTGGAGATTATTTTTAAGTCACAATTGTAGTCCTACTTGGGTTGGGCCAACAAGATAGGCCCATTACAGGGGGAATATTCATAACTAGACCGTTCAGTGAGGATCTGATGATTAGTGCCACAGTTCAGAAAGACTGATGTAATTAGGAAGAGCCCCCTGGAGGAGGCGAACGGAAGGGATCCCATTTGGGGAAGTAAGGGAAATTAGATGCTAAGGATAAGGGCATGCTGATTGAGCAAGGTCATTGATGCCAGAAGACACCCCTAAAGTCATTTGTTGTGAGCGTGTGTCCTGAGGTTGGGAGAGTCCCTCAAAAGAAGGGTTGTGTGGTCAGAAGCATGGAGAAACACTGCCCATTGTCTCTCCCCTTAGCGCATTGGCAATTTACAGTCTAGAAATTCTGCTGTAGTGAGATTTTTTTTTTAATTAAGTCATTTTATTGGGGGCTCATACAGCTCTTATAACCATCCATACACCAATTATATCAAGCACATTTGAGAGATCTTTTCTTTTAAATAGTATTGAACATAGCCTTTCACAGCTTCCCCACGCCGTAGAGCTTTTTTCCCAGGTGACACCTGGGATGCTCTGGTCTGAAGTCACAAACGGGAACAGAGCGTGACTGAATAGTCTTTGTGTCGCAGGAGGGGCCTTAGAGAAAGTAAGATGGCTCTGGATGGAACCAGTGGGATATGATTTCTTAGACAAATTATTTTTAAACATTGATAAAAGGCTGTAACTGGCCTACAGGAGAAATGTTAGGAAAATAATTCATTGTAAAATATATATTTCACATATAAGCACTTGGGCACAAGTACACTAGGATATGTAATGAGGTAGTGAGATGCTTGCAAAAATTCAAATTAAATAAATATTGAGTGCCTACTATGTGTTGAACACTGCCCAAAGTGTCCTGGGAATATAGACAGAAATCCTTGCCTCGTGGAGCTTATATTCTTGTAGACTGGTGTGAGATAGACAACAATCCACATCATACATAGGTAATTTGCATATTACATTGGAAGGCGGTAAGCATTATGGCGTAAAAAGGAATATGGTGCATGGCTAAAGGGAAACTGAATTGCAGAGTGCTAAGAAAGTGGGCAGCGGGTGGCAGTTTAAAACACAGCGGCAAGGCAGGCCTCACTGAGAAAGTAACATTTGAGCAAAGATTGGAAGGAGGTGAGAGAATGAATCAGGCCTCTATCTGGGGGGACAGAGCCCAGGCAGCACAAACAGCTAGTACAAAAGCCCTAAGGTAGAACCTTGTGTGTTGGCTTAAATGGGGCCAGTGAAGTAGAGTAAGTAGAAGCAGAAATCTCTCTCACTCACACACACACACACACACACACACACACACACACACACACACAACTGGATCATAGATGACCTTCTGGGTCATGGGTCATGGTAAAAGGAAATTGGTTTATACACCTAGAACTTATTGGCCAACTATCTCCGTCATCAGACGTTTACAATAGTGAAAAATCTACACATCTGGCATTAATGATCACCAGCTTGCTAGGCAACAGTATTAACATTGGATGTGGTGTGGTTGAAGTTAGGTGTCACTGTACTGAGCCATCCTTCTCAGTGATTATTTGGAAGTTATGTAATGATATGGTCATCCTCCATTTTGCATAATTTAGATTTTCCCATAATGACCTGGTCTTTGGAACCGAACTGTTATTAAGTGAGGAATCAGTGTACTAGGAAGTCTTTAGATGGTTGTGATCAGAGGGATAATATGATCTGACATACACTTTAAAAGGAAAAGGCAGGCTTCCTTGTTTAGATTATAGGGTATTAATAAAGGTGGAAGCAAGGAGCCTTGGTGGCACAAACAGGTATGCACAGTTCAGCTGTTAACTGAAAAGTTGGTAGTTTGAACCTACCCAGAGACTTGGGATGGAATTTGAGGGGAAACGGCCACCAATCTGCTTCTGTGAAGATTATAGCCAAGAAAGCCCCCTGGAACAATTCTAACTCTTGTCACATGGGCTTGTTGTGAGTCAGTGACAAGACCACCCATTGCCATAGCTATCCTATCTAGGGTTTCTGCAGCTACAAATCTTTACCAGAACAGATAGCATTATCTTCCTCCCATGGAGTGGCTGCTGGGTTTCAACAGCCAACACTGCAGTTAGCAAGCCAGTGCTTTACCCAACTGGACAGCACCCAGCAACAAGGTTGGAAATAGGGAAACTAGAATGGAGGTTGTCACACATACCCAAACCGCTACAAATGCATGCTAGCGCTCAGTACCATATTTCAGAGAATCTAAGATTCCATTGGTTGTAGGTCACTTCCTGAATTCTGAGATGTTAAAATATGCAGTGCGGATTACATCATGCAGTGTGAATTGCAATATTCAGGGCTGAATTGGTGAGTCAAGTACCACAAGTAGCACCAACTGCTGAAAACATGATCTTTCTGAAATATGGAGTGAGCAACTCTTAGTAAAGTCCCAAGTGACACAAAGTGTTATCTGCTACTTACTCATTAATCGCCTATCTGGAAATACAGTTTATACTAAGTCCATGTGAAATAGTTCATATATAAAATGATGTTAGAGACTAGGTTCAAATTATTATGAACAGGGTTTTGTTTTAATCTACATTAAAATCAACCAAACAATTAAAAGTTTTGCCAGTTGTGAGGAAATTATGGCTCATATATTACCAGAAATAGAATACCCTTGCCCATGTTCTCTAAATGCTCAACCATTGTGACAAAGTAGCTTTCCAGATTTTTTCTTTACATTTTATTTTGTTGTTTTGTTTGGACGTCAACATGGTACATAATTCTGCCATCATTACTCATGATTCTGGAATAGGTACATGACCTAATATGGTCCAATCAGAGGAAAGCCCCAAACTGCTGTATGATGAATGTGAATATAGACTTCTTACTCTTTTGGGACTGAATGAAGAAATCCCAAACCCTGACTGCAACAGCAGTCCTCCAACCAAGGGGAGCCAGCCTGGGAATGGGGCCTTTCCTTTGGGAGGCAGAAGGCAAGACAAAATAACTGGTAGTTGAATGATACTAGTGAACTCCTGAATTGGCCCCTGCCAAGGCCATTCTACCTTTGAATATTTTGGTTAGTTGGCTAATATATTTTACTTATTGTGAATAATAAACTATGCCTACTTTCTCTGTTAGTCTGGATTGACTAGAGAAA